TCGCACATTCATGTTTTCTCTGCGGATTCGGGGAGATCTTGACAAGCGCAGTCCAACCCCATCACCAAAAAAAAAAATAAAAAAAATTCGACCCGGTTTTGGGCCCAACCGGAATTCCGGTCCGGGCCGGTCCAACCAACCGGCACGGCTGGGACTGGTCAGTGGCCGGTGCAGCCTTGGTTTATAGTGCGTCTGACTGTTTGAATTCTCGACTCATGCATTGAGTTTTCATGTTTTTCAGATTCGATAGGCAGTGTTAGAGCTGGATGTTTGTCTGGTACTTGAGTTCTGAAGTTGATATGTGCTTTCTATGGCTAGTGCAAGGAAAATGAGCGATAGCGAACTTCAGAAACCAAGCAGCATCATACACATGAGACCAGATAGTCGTGACCTCGAACCAAAAGCAGAATTGCATTAAGAGTCCCACCAAATAAGAGCACAGCAAATGCTCACAAGTGACAATGTTCGAATAGTCTCATCATCATCAACAAAGAACCAATGTCGACATCCTGTCTGGCGCTCGGCGCCCAGACTACAAATGGCAGATCCTATCTAGCCTATCCACAATGCCGCTGATGACGTCAACAGCTCCCCGAAGTACGAGCAGATCTTGGCCAATGCAGTTCACCTCAAGCACCAGGTATGTCTCTCGCCTCAGTCATAACCTTGATCCCCAACTCACAGATGCCGCATGCTCCAAAGGACCACCATGCGCCCCATCCAGCATGCAGCAGCGCAGCTCGGCTATGGCTGCCTGCTCGTTCCAGCACGCCCGTGTGCGCGTTAGCGCTGGCCAGCATATAGCGCAGCATGCAGCCAGTGCCCGAATGCCGAATGCGTGGGCAGGCCCTTTCCTAAATGGAAGTGGCCTGCTTGCTTGCCTGCAGCCTGGCTGCGGTGGGCCCCTGCCCAGAAGCTTCTAGTAGGCCCAGAGAGGGTGAGCCCCAGTCCACATGAATCAGGCCCTGGGCCTGTGGTGGTTGCCCTTGTTCAACTGCCCGCGGCCTGTGTTCGGTCCATGTTGCGAATCTGGCCCAGGGCCTGCCTTGGTTATATTCGACAGAGGCAGCCT